CTTGCTACATGTACTGCGTTAGGCTAACCGAGACTTGTCATTTGCATTTACATATTGTTGCTCTTTTGTTAGTTTTGATTGCTTCTATTGTCCTCATTTCTAAGTCACATTGCATAAAAGCATCTGCTAAATGACTAAATGTAAATGTGAATGCAATAATGTCCATTTTAAATGCAAGATACTCACATCAGTGTGTTGAGTCTACAGTGTTTGTCCTGCAGTAGAGCAGCGAGCTGATTCACTCGTGTGTCTCCTAGTTCACGTTCACTGAGATTCAGCTCACTCAGGAGTAACGGGTTTTTACCCACAATTCCAGTCACAAACTGACAGCCTTCATCTGCAGCAGGACTCAGCAATCTGCAGAAGTTGAAGCAAGATTAAACAAAAATGCATTATTGTTCCTAATGACATACTTTTAACACTTTTACTGTGAAGTTGTGAACATATTAATACAAAAAATAAATAAATTACTTTTTGACTTTTAAATATTTATTTTAATGAAACTGTGCAACAGTGCAGGAACAGAAGGGCAAAAGCTCACTAGATCTTGATTTTCAGTAAAATATGGATAGTGAAGTTAGCATTCTGATTGGTCTCAAGATCTTTCTGAATACTGCACATATTTGTAGAGCTGGAGAAATAAACTACAATATGATTATAAAAATGTAGTACCACACCACTAAATATTATAACTAGTGGCCTATAATGTCTTTTTAACCTGTAATAAAGCTTGTACCATAACTAAACTGTGCTCACATTTGTCACAAATACCACAGTACCTCCATATGAAACAAAATTGGAAGGCTACTGTTTTACTAAAATCATTTATGTGGTATTATTTCATCACATCTCACCTCAGTGTCTTGAGTTGAGAGTTTGGATCCTGTAGTAAATCACTGAGCTTCTTTACTCCTGATGGTCCAGGATCATTTCCTGTGAGATCCAGCTCTATCAGGTGTGAAGGGTTTGATCTCAGAGCTGAAGCCAGAGATTTATAACCCTTTTCTGTGATACTGCAGTTACAGAGTCTATAGAAAAATGTTTTTATAATAATCAAAACTCATTATGTGATTTATATAATTAAAAGCATATTTTGTATTATTAAAATATAAATTGCATTATGAAATGTGAAATTATGCAATCAAACGATGGTTCATTGAACTCACCTGAGTTTCTTCAGTGTGCAGTTTGTATTTTCTAATCCGCTCTGGAGTTTCTTCACTCCTGAATCCTGCAGGTTATTGTTGCTCATGTCAAGCTCTTTCAGACTGGTGTTTGATCTCAGGACTGCAGCTAGAGCTGAACAGCTTTTCTGTGTTAGATCACAATCACGCAGCCTAAAATGATGAACATGAGAGGAAGAATTTACGAACACAAAGAATTTGATGCCAACATTCAGTGATTATTGAGAATTACTGTTTTACTGTCTATACAGCTAATTTCTTCAAGATACTTTAAATGTGCAATAATAAATGAAAACAATACTCACTGGAGTGTGTTGAGTTTACAGTGTTTATCCTGCAGTAGAGCAGCGAGCTGATTCACTCGTGTGTCTCCTAGTTCATGTTCACTCAGATTCAGCTCACTCAGGAGTAACGGGTTCTTACCCACAATTCCAGTCACAAACTGACAGCCTTCATCTGCAGCAGGACTCAACAACCTGGAGACAGAAGTACACAGACTTATTAAAGACTTATTATTAAAGAGATTTACACTAGCTTGTTAAAGGGCCTTTAGTCATTTCAAAGCATGTATGTCTTTTTGATAATCCTACTTCAGCTAAAATGGTACAAAGATTATTGAACATTATTATTTTAATAACACTCACCTCAGTGTCTTGAGTTGAGAGTTTGGATCCTGTAGTAAATCACTGAGCTTCTTTACTCCTGATGGTCCAGGATCATTTCCTGTGAGATCCAGCTCTATCAGGTGTGAAGGGTTTGATCTCAGAGCTGAAGCCAGAGATTTATAACCCTCTTCTGTAACACTGCAGTCTGGCATTCTAGAAGAAGAAAAAACAGCAACCAAATCAAGAAATCAAATGCAACTCTGAAAGCCTACAAATCATAAAAACTCAAACTGAAATTAACATTGCAGTTGAGATTTATTAATTAATGCACAAAATATGAATAAATCACACTACAACTTACAGCTGAATACTTTGTCAGATATGCAGTTGTTAATTATAATTATTTATACTACAGGGCTGCTGAATGCTTAAATCTGAGTGGTTGACAAACTTTCTAAGGTGTGCAATTATTTTGATGTGAGTACACATGTGAGTGTGAGTACACAATTGAGGAAATAGATTGGGCTACCAAGATGCCTTAGCAGCATAGGGCTGTACAGCAATGGAGCACTCTCCCTTCCCATTTCAAGCCTTGTGGAGAAGTACAAATGTGCCAAAACGAGGCTGGAGAAGATGCTTAAAGAATCCCGCGATCCCTGCGTAAGAGATGCTGCTCCAACATTGGATTCCATTTCCTCCCTGTCACCAGTTACAGCAGTTGCTGATGCAAAGGCAGCCCTCAGACACCAGGATATTGTGGGGCAAGTCCAATATGGTAGAGGGGGACTTGGGTTGGGAATAATAACACCTAAATTGCAAAAGGCAACAGCAAAGGAACAACGACACCTGGTGGTGGAGGAGGTACGCCGTCAGGAGGAAGCAACTAGATGCGCTAGAGCAGTCTCCCAAGCCCAACAAGGCCGCTGGATGAGGTGGGAATGTATAGAATGGCGTAAAATCACTTGGAGTGAGCTGTGGATCATGGAAACCAACAGGTTAAGTTTTATCGTGAGAGCCACATATGATGTGTTGCCCTCTTCAACAAACCTGCAGGTATGGTGTGGACAAGACCCAGCCTACTACCTGTGTGCAGCCCCGGCAAACCGCAGACATATCCTGGTGGGTTGTAAGACCAGCCTGACACAGGGAAGGAACACATGGCACCACAATCAAGTACTGAAGCGCTTGGCGGCAGCAATAGAGAATGTCAACAAATGCCATCCCCCAAAACGCCAAGAATACCTTACCAAAAAGGCAGTCCGTTGTTAGGGAAGGGGAGAAAAAGCGGGCTAAGTGCCTGTCCCCTGACGCAGGCCAGCTGAATATAGCCAGGGACTGGGAAATGCGAGTCGACTTAATCCACAGACTCACTTTCCCATTCGAAATTGCAGTCACCAATCTGCGCCCAGAACTGGTTCTCTGGTCCAACTTCAGTAGGAACGTCATAATATGCAAGATGGTGCCACCGCGTTCGGACGCCGTCCTGGTCGCTCCGCTTAGACTGTGTTTTTATTTATTTTTGTACTTACAATTACTCTCACCTTTTGCATGCATAACATCGGCACTGATCACATATGACAGCAGAACACTTTTAAACATCAGAAACCAGTTTTCTTACCTATTTTACAACATTTTACCCAACGATCCAAGGTGGCCACCTGAGATTCTCCGCACGACGGATGAGAACAATGGCTATGAGATGGCTACTCCGAGGCGACGAAACAGAAAACACAGAGGGAAACGCGCTGGGGTTCGCAACAGACTGAGGACCAGAGCGCACAGTCCACTTTTACCCAGTATCCTTCTAGCCAACGTCCTGTCGCTTGAGAACAAGATGGATGATCTCAGAGACAGGATAAGATTTCAATGGGACATAAGGGACTACAACATAATCTGCTTATCCGAAACATGGCTGACCCCCTCGGTACCAGACGAAGCTGTAACACCATCTGATAGCTCCTCTGTTCTTTGGATGGACAGGACTGCGGGGGCCGGCACAGCGGTCATCGCCACAACTGTTTGCATTCCACCTCAAGCGGACACAGAGAAGGCCCTGTCTAAGCTCCATGATGTGCTTAGTGTCTGCTTAAACAACCACCCGGACGCTGCCATCATTGTGAGTGGGGACTTTAATAAAGCCAGTCTTAGACATGTAATGCCAAACTTTTACCAGCACATTTCCTGTCCAACCAGAGGGGGGGGGGAATACATTGGACCACTGCTATTCTCAATTCAGGAATGGCTATAAAGCTAGCTCGCTACCGGCTTTTGGAAAATCTGACCATACCGCCATCTTCCTCATACCGCAATATAAACAAAAGCTTGTGCAGGCAGCTTCAGAGAGGCGGGTGGTGAAACGCTGGTCCACCCAATCAGAAGCTGCATTACAGGATGCGCTCGATGACGTGGACTGGGATATGTTTCGGTCTAGTTCCACTGACGTCAGTGAGTTTGCGGATGTAGCTGTCAGCTTTGTCGGGCACACTGGTTGAGGAGTTAACACAAACCATAACAATAAAAACTTTCTCTAACCAGAAACCATGGGTCGATAGAACAATCCGGGGAGCGGAGAATGCGCGCACGGCCGCGTATAATGCGGGGCTCATGTCAGGAGACATGAGCGAATACAAAACCGCGTGTTACGCTCTCCGACACGCTGTGGGAACCGCTAAACATCAGTACAGAGATCGAGTGGAGTCTCATTTCCAACTGAATGACTCCAGGTGCATGTGGCAGGATCTTAGAACTATCAGTGCTTTTAAAAGTAAACCCTCCGTTGCGGTGAGTGCTGACTCTTCACTAGCCAACGAGCTGAACACCTTTAATACAGTTTTCGAAGCAAACCGCTCTGGCGATATCAACAGTCTGCCGATGTGCACAGAGTAAAAGAACAGCTGCGTCAGTGACGCATGTGCAATCTCTGGATGAGGTTCATCAAACTCTTAAGCGTGTGAACATCAGGAAAGCGGCTGGCCCAGATGGAATTTCCAGTCGTGTATTGAGATCATGCTGGATTGGATTGTTTGCGTCCATCTTTAACGAGTCCCTTGCTCAGTCAGTTGTCCCTACATGCTTTAAAAAACATATCATCGTTCCTGTACCAAAAACAACAATCCATCTTGCCTAAAGGACTATCGACCTGTGGCACTCACATCACTAATTATGAAGGTCTTTGAGAGGCTCATCAAGAACACCATCTGCTTCTCTATCCCTAACAGCATTGACCCACTCCAGTTCGCCTATCGCCCTAATAGGTCTACTGAGGATGCTGTCTCCCATCTCCTGCACGCCACTCTCACCCACACCGACAGCAATAAAGGGAATTATGTGAGGCTGCTGTTCACAGATTATAGCTCAGCCTTCAACACTATAGTCCCCCACAATCTGGTCTCCAAGCTCAGAAACCTCGGACTGAATGCCCCACTCTGTGACTCGGTTCTTGGTTTTCTATCATGCAGACCTCAGGTAGTGAGGGTGGGTCAGACCACCTCCAACATCATCACCCTGAGTACAGGAGCCCCACGAGGATGTGTTTTGAGCCCGCTACTCTACTCCCTCTACACATATGTCTGTGTGTCCTCTCACACCTCCACTTCTGTCATCAAGTTTGCAGATGATACAGTGGTGATGGGCCTCATCTCCAACAACAATTAGGCTGCCTACTTTGATGAGGTAGAAAGACTGACATCATGGTGCCATTCAAACGGTCTCTTTCTGAATGTCAGCAAAACCAAGGAGCTGGTTGTGGACTTCAGGAGGAGGCAGCAGCGGATCTACACCCCACTCATCATTAACGGGACCCCAGTGGAGAGAGTGAGCAGCTTCAAATACCTTGGTGTACACATCTCCGAGAACCTGACCTGGATAAAAAAAGCTAGACAATGACTGTACCATCCGAGACTCCTGAGAAAATTCAAGGTTTCCCCTGGAATCCTGTAAACTTTCTATATCGGGGCTATAGAAAGTATATTGACTTTTATATACTAGTATATTGCATTTCATCGTGGTATGGAAACAGTGTGCGCTCAGCTGAGTGTATCTCCATAACTGAGCTACCCTCTCTGCAAGACATCCACACCAGGAGATGTAAAGCTAGGGCTGTTAAGATCCTCAAAGACTCCACTCACCCTGGAAATCCACTGTTTAATCTGCTACAGTCAGACAGATGCTTCTGCAGCCTGATGGCAAAAACGGAGAGGCTCAGAAGGAGCTTCTTCCTTCACGCTATCAGACCATTAAACATGGACATTAAACACACTGTACTTTAGAGACTCTGGCAGTGTAGGGTTACTCAATAACTCTCTGCACACTGCACTTTTTTTTGAGACGAGCTAGCTATGCAACTCATCCTCACTGCACATTGTTTACATCTTAGCAGTTTCTGTGTAGAATCTCTGCACATCATCTGTGTAGTAGTTTAATATATTGTGTATATTTAATTTTTGTATTGTATTAAATTTTTTGTATTTCATTTTCTTCTTATTTTTTGCACAGTCTATAAAGTATGCCAGACCTACATTTCACTGCTTGTTGTATGTTATATAACTTGTATGTGACAAATACATCTTGAATCTTGAATCTAATAGTCAAACTGACAGTCTCTTGGGAAGAGGCCATTAACGAGGCCTTTGAATGGAAGAAGCTGCGATATGCCAACTTGGCAGCTGAGGCAGAGGAGCGGGGCTGGACAGTGAAAGTATACCTGGTGGAAGTGGGCTGCAGGGACTTTGTGGCTAGTTCCACTATAAGGCTGCTGAAGGAGTTGGGCATCAGAGGACAGGTCCAGTGGAGGATAGTCAGGGAACTGGCCACTGTCTCTGAAAGAAGCAGCCACTGGCTGTGGCTGAAGCGGATGGACACAGTAATTTTTTGTATTTCATTTTCTTCTTATTTTTTGCACAGTCTATAAAGTATGCCAGACCTACATTTCACTGCTTGTTGTATGTTATATAATTTGTATGTGACAAATACATCTTGAATCTTGAATCTAATAGTCAAACTGACAGTCTCTTGGGAAGAGGCCATTAACGAGGCCTTTGAATGGAAGAAGCTGCGATATGCCAACTTGGCAGCTGAGGCAGAGGAGCGGGGCTGGACAGTGAAAGTATACCTGGTGGAAGTGGGCTGCAGGGACTTTGTGGCTAGTTCCACTATAAGGCTGCTGAAGGAGTTGGGCATCAGAGGACAGGTCCAGTGGAGGATAGTCAGGGAACTGGCCACTGTCTCTGAAAGAAGCAGCCACTGGCTGTGGCTGAAGCGGATGGACACAGTGTGGGCTGCCAAATGACCATGTAACAAAGTGACACACACCCGGGTCTGATCAGCCTGTGGTGGGCCTGCCTCGGCTGAGGGTGTCTTGTGATAAAGGGCCGAAACACCCAATGAGGCTGGGGTACACATCTGATGATGTGTTGCATTGGTGGAAACACCATACAAAGGTCATTGGCAACATCACCTCAAAAAAAGGCATCTTTCACCCAGGCTAAAAAGTGACACACACTCGGGTCTGATCGGCTTCATCTTGTGATAAAGGGCCAAAACATAATTGGCAACATCACCTCAACAAAAGGCATCTTTCACCCAGGCTAAAGTTCGCACAGAAACTGGGAACTGATGGACATCAGATAAGGTGTCTCACTGGCAACATCCATAAAAGATAAGTACACATCATACACAGCATTACAGATCATGAAAACGTCAAGGATCCCCACCCAATGACTGCAGCGAAGAATTGCAACATCTTCATCTATCCATCTTACCATACTAGTCCTTTTCTTATTGTTCCCCAGTCACACATAAAGCAATTGTAAAATCACGACTGATTATTGGGTATTGAGGCAAGTACCACAGACATGGATTAGGCCATGATCCTGGATTCTTGCTGAATGAAAATCAGAGCATAACAATTGCTGCGTCTTGCTGTGTTCTGCTCACAGTGAAGGGAAATGTTCTATGGTGCGGCTAAATAGTGCTGAATATTAGGATCATAACACCTAGTCCTATCATGCAAATTTTCAGGGAAATGCACAGCAAAGTAGTTCTAAACAGATCTTGACTGCATTACAGTTCCATATCAATTGCTTTTATTTATTTTTTATAAATATTCTATTAATGCATTAATATTTATTTAGAGATGGTGTTCCTGTGGCTCAGTGGTAGAGCATTGTGTAAGCAGCGCAAAAGGTCATGGGTTCAATTCCCAGGGAACACACATACTGGTAAAAAAAAAAAAATTTATAGCCTGAATGCACTGTAAGTCGCTTTGGATAAAAGCGTCTGCTAAATGCTTTAATTATTATTAGATACAGATAGCGCTTTTGTGAGGTTATTATAAAGGTCTGCTCACACCAAAATAAATATTCCTCACAAAAAAAATTGTTGCAATATCTGAATGCATTTTTTTCTGTTCAGATCAATGGGAAACAATGAAAAAGGTGCTGAAAGAAATGGAGATTTACTCCCAGACAGTAGATATAAAAGCAAATAAAATAGCACAATTAGCACTGGTGACAAGAGAATAAAAAAGCAAAACCATATTCTTCCTATATCTTCCTCTGCTATTCAATGTCACTTAGCAAAATAGTGTTTCTGGTGAGTGGGCATGTCACCAAAAGATTAGAACATCTCTTCGTAACAAAATGTCATATTAACAGCATGCGAATGTTCGTATCAGTCTGAACAGATGTGTTAACATCCATTCATTCAAATTAAAATGGTTCTCACATAATTGTTTTGATGAAAATTTGTTTTAGAGTGAATAAGCATCAATGCATGATTTCTATGTACAAATACACTAATTTAAAAAATAAAAAATAAAACAATGAACTGTCTATAGCAATACATAGCATACATGGAGATGAGCAGATTGAACAGTGGATGAACAGGATGAACAGTGTTGAGTGTAAGCTGATGGTGAAATGAGCTCACTTGAGTATCTTCAGCTCACACACAGGATTCTTCAGTCCCTCACAGATCTCTTTGACTCCTGAGTCCAGCAGACGGCTGTTGTTCAGGTTCATCTCTTTCAGGATGGTTTTGGAGGAGAGAACAGTAGCTAGAACTGAACAGCTTTCCTCTGTCAGCTCACAATTATTCAGCCTGAACAAAAACAATTATTTATTATACAGCACATATTCAACAGATCATCAGTCTTCAAATATGCTCACATACACGACTGCCAGTCCTTTATAATGAATATACAGAGAAGTTATCATGTATAAATCATGTTCACTCACTTGATTTTCTCCACTTTGCAATGGAAGTCCATCAAAAGAGCAGAGAGTTTCTCTCCATCCAGATCTCCTAATTTCTCTCCACTCAGATCCAGTTCTTTCAGTAATAATGGACTTTTACCCAGAACTTTAGTGAGATACTCACATGCTTCCTCTGCAGCAGGACTTTTCAAAAACCTACAGGAAGCAGAAGACAATTTTAGATTAGATAATTGTGTTTTAAAGGGGTGGTTAATTGTTATATCACATTTTTAACTTTAGTTAGTGTGTACTGTTGCTGTTTGAGCATAAACAACATCTGCAAAGTTACGATGCTCAAAGCTTAATGCAATGGGAGATATTTTATTTTACAAAATTTGGCCTACAAAAATGGCTTGTTTTGACTACAACAATCTTTTTCCTGGGTTCATGACGTAACAAACCCTAAAATTTACATAGACCCTGCCCCCGTGAACACACAACAAAGTGGGTGTGGTCATGTTTTGCTGCTTGGGATATACATACACATGACGGCTCGAGCTGAGCCGAGTCTCCCGGGGGAGAAGTTTCGCTTGCATCGCGGGCAAGAGTCAGAGGAGGAAAAGAGCTCTGTTGAAGAGGTATGTTCCTTTTTGTGTTTATTGTAACCAAATACATTTACAATACAACATTTAAACAAACATACTCAGGGTTTTCTGTTGGCCGCCGAGGGAACTGTGAGCAAGAAAATGAAGCATGAAGACATGTTGCACTACACCCCATAAACACAATCAAGCCTAGAAAAAAGACGGTTTACCACCCGTTTAATGTAATACCTTTTGCTGCTTCTATCCTGCTTATGGGTGGACTTCAACAAACACAGATCATTCTCACTAGTTTAATTCCTGTCTGTGTGAAGTTCCATTTGGTTCATAGTTGTTTTCAGAGTTTGGAATAGTTTTTTTATTTTTATTTTTTTACGTTTCAGTTTTAAAGTCCCCATGAAATCAAAATTAAAGTTTTTTGGGAGTTAGTATCAATATGTTAGTCTTAAGGTTGTATATAAGGCAGTGTGTTCCAAAACAGTGACAAAATTCGCATTTAGTTCGTCACTTCCGCCAAAACGGCTCAACGATTTTTTTTGACGTCACATCGTACTTCATCATCTCATCAAATCTTCTGACCAATCAAATGCTCTCTAGAATCCGAAGCCCCGCCCCCTACACTATAAAATAGACGATGAAGCCGCGGCTGAGATCGGTCGCTTGTTCACAGTGTAGTATTTCCTGTACACTGAATGGCACATAGTGCACAATGTAGTTGATAGGGAACGATTCAGATAGTGTAAATATGCTTTAGATTGGTGCAAATGAGGTCTGGTTTTACGTTGTGTCACGCGAACCACGGCAGCACGCACAGTCTGATCCGGACTTTGGCTCCAAGCTCTTTCAGACTGGTGTTTGATCTCAGGACTGCAGCTAGAGCTGAACAGCTTTTCTGTGTTAGATCACAATCATGCAGCCTAAAATGATGAACATGAGAGGAAGAATTTACGAACACAAAGTATTTGATGCCAACATTCAGTGATCACTTAGAACTG